CACCCTCTATGCTTCAGGCTGCCTTTCCAAGGCACCTATCTATTGATTCTATCTGAAGTGATGGTCCTGCCACCTTTGAAAGTGAGAAGGGTATCCTGATGATCTCTAGATTGTCTTTGGAATTACTCTTTCTTATCTTGAAAATAACACACATTCACAGCCAAATAGCTCTGTGGTCTAGCCTTGTAGGATCTAAGAATTCCTAATAGCCTGTGTGTAGCACACAGTTTCAAGCATCAGGTGGTTCTACAAGACTTGTTATGAAATATATAGTAATCTCTTGCTCTCTTCTACTCTTTTTTCCATCTTCTTTTTGGTGTTTACCTCCACATTCTAAAGTGTTTATTTTTTCTTGACTTTTCACAGTGGACATTATTTATTATTGCCTTATTACTGTTAGAAGATTTGCGCTCCTTCTAGGAGAGGATTCTTGTTGGAAAGATTGTGGCAAGAAGTTTGATGTGACTAGAAATATAACTGGGGTGTGGGGAGTGTCTTGGTGGCAGGGAGACCAGGCAGGAAGAGGAGGGTATTGCAATGTTCCAATGAAGGAAGAGGCACTGAGTGGTTTTTTTTAAAAATTGATGAGTAACATATTCAGGTAAGTGCATAAAATATATCATGCTCCGTGACTTTTTACCCGTGTGTGTACTATGTCTCCAGTACCTGTCTCAAGATGTAGAACATTTCCAGCCTCCTTTAAATTCCTGGTGCCAAAAAATAAAAAATAAAATAAAAAATAAATTCCTGGTGCCCCAAAATGAGGTCTTGAACTAAGGCACGGAAATTCATTACTGGTTCTAGAATGAAGTCCAAAAATGAGGTGGGGTTAAAGATGACTCCAAACTTGGGAGACTGGGTAGACTGGGTGATGATGTTGCCAACCAGGTGGGTAATACAGGAAGATAATCTGGTTTTAATTGAGGGAGGAGTTAAGATGGTGAGAGAAGGTCAGCTTTAGACTTGTTGATTTGGGATTTCCAAATGGAACTTATAGGTGGCAGGCAGAAACGTAAATTTGGAGTTCTGAGGTAAATTTGGAATTGACGTGTAGATTTGTACACACTTACCAGCATTTACAGTCTGTTTGAGAGCTAGCAAATAGATGAAAAAATTCTCTAGAGAGGCTGTAGAGACCTGAGGTTATGAGAGGCATATGTTGCTTTTATTAACTGTGTTTTAGTCCAAATAGTGAATAAAATCAGTGAGAAAATTCAGTTTAAACATTTTTAAAACAAAATGATAAATGAAAATTCAGTAATGTGTGCTCTTTTAAAAATGAAAAATCAAATTGGTTCAGAGTTTTATAAGTAAGAAGTAAGCATTCTGCCTCCATTCTGCTCCCCACTCCGATCTCTGTGTCTCCTTCCAGATGATTTTTAGTACATATGTGTTATGTTTATGGTTTTCTTGATTATACCTTTCCATTATTGCTTTAGTTAAGAGTTTTTTTTCTGGCTGTTTCATGTATGGTGGACAGCCTACAGGCATGTGAACCGAATGTCTTATTAGTTTGATTCCCCCCCCTTTCTTGTAATGTGTTTTATGCTGATGTGCTTTTTAATCTTGACTGCAAAAAAATTTCTTTAGCCTTTTTTTCTTTTGCATTTTCTTGAAAAAAAAATTAATTTTCAAGCTAACATATCTTGGTCTTTGGAGTATTTAAATATTCCCTTGATTAATAATACTAGCACCATTATACTCTTGTCTGTTTAATGTGAGCAAACTGACAACTTTTTTTTAACCTGGAGAGAATGATAAGCTAATATTTTTCTTGATTGCCTAGTTGACACTAATTCTTGTTAGAATGAATGAAAGGCCTCTTAAGAGCCCTCTTGCTCGGTGAATCCGAGATATGAAATACACTGACAGAGTTTGTAACCTATGTTTTGTTTAGTGTTAATTAGATCTCCAATGTAGTTGAGTCAAAGGTATTATTATTATTTTGAGTCAAAGGTATTAGATGTAGGTTCTAGAAATGTCCTATTAATTGTGTAATTACTGTAACTTGTTTAAGCCCTCTGTTACAGGGTACTTATTGTTGAAAGAGCAAAAAGCATACTGTGTATTTTCATTCATTCAACAAATACTTATTGAGCTCCTATAAGGTACTGCTTTCTGTGATACTAATAGTATTAAAAGGAAACATTATGAGCATTTACTATCTGTTAGCACTTAATACTATCCTGAGTGCTAGGTGTAGGATAATGAGCAAAGTAAGCCTGGTGCTTTCCCTTATGGAACATTATACATGATAAGATGGTGATACTATTATTTTTATTTGGATCATGTCAGAAATAAAATTTGGCATCAGTAGTTGAGTAACAAGTGATTTTCTTCTCTCTGAATTCTAAGACTTTGTCAACTATCAGATTTGCATATCAGTTGGCCTATACATTCTCACCCTGAATGATCAGAGTGACCTGTGTTTTGACTGAGACTCTTTTCCAAAAGTTATTTCATAGTTGAATCTCAGTTCCTTAAAATGCAATTAATTTAAAGTGACACTGTGATAGAATCACAATATTTAAAAGCAAACTAATGATTTAACTTCCTCCTTCCTAGACAGTCCAGCCAACTATATGAAAATACTTGGTTGTGCTGGTTTGGGTGTGTCTCAGATCAAGGCGGATATCTTTTAAAGAGATCCACCCACAGCATTCCTGACATATAAATCTGTCACATGTTTGTTAGAAACTTAGAGCTCTGAAAATTGCCTTCCTTTTTATTAGTATGTTCTATTGAGAGAAAACAATTTCAGAGCTAAAGAGAGTTGGTTACTGGAATTAAATACAGTGTTCTTTTAGATAATAGTTTTTTAAAGAGATGATCAGAATATTATTTTTGTTGTGTTTTTAGTGTCTGATTTTGTTTTGTCCAGCTTAATAGCTTGTGTATATGCTGTATTGCTAATTTTTAAACAATCTCTCATCTTCAGTTATTGGCTCATTTCTAGCTATTCTGTTCTAAACACATTGCAGCCTTGCTCCTGCATAAAAGTTTAAGTAGTGAACATTGACGCAGACTTCTATTCCTTTGAGTAAGAAATTGTTGAAGACCTACATCAGTTTTACAAATAGTTTTCAGGAGTTCTTTAGCTCATCAAATTGAAGCAGTGCCAACAGATTCCAAGTATCATGCCTATCTGAAAGCCTTTCCTTTGTCAAGAATAACTTTCTTTTCCAGCTGTTCTAACTTGCAGTATTCAGGTAGCTTTCCCAAAAGTAATATTATTGGGATATAATATTAAAAAATATATTTAACTTTTTTTTATTATTTACTTATGATAGTCACAGAGAGAGAGAGAGAGAGAGGCAGAGACACAGGCAGAGGGAGAAGCAGGCTCCATGCACCGGGAGCCCGATGTGGGATTCGATCCCGGGTCTCCAGGATCGCGCCCTGGGCCAAAGGCAGGCGCCAAACCGCAGCACCACCCAGGGATCCCTATATTTAACTTTTGGATCAAGTTGTCTGAGAGGCCAGGAAGGAATCTTATTCCTTTGGGGCTTTTCATAACTCTAGTGCAGTGCTCAAATTGAAAATGTATTCCTAGTAAATTGTGAATGAGCATCCTCACTGCAGTTGGCTGTTTCAAAGTTAAGATTAAAGTTATTACACAAACTTCTCTGATGAGATTTTTCTATAAAACAAGATTTCCATTAAGATTGGCCAAAACACAGAGAGCTTTAAACTATGAGATCAAAAGTGCAGTATGGCTGTATATTAATTCAGGTATCCGAAGGATGAAACCAGGGATAATCTTAGAGTGGAAATGGATACTTAAGGCAAGATGAAGGGGGACAGAACGATTTCATGACAGTTACTGATCACTCTTAACTGGTTTTCTCCTTATGTTGCATTCCACTTTCTACTTCTATAGAGTGCTGGACCACTCTTACGTAAGCATTTTACTTTTGGGCATAATTTATTTGTGTTACCACAACAAAGGCTGTTAATAAACCACAAATTTCCATGGGGCCTGGTGCTGGTTATTATTTGGCATACAAGGGCTGGTGGCTTTAAGACTATAGAGCAGGAAAAAAAAAACTGTATAGCAGGAAAACATAAATATTTTAGTTTATCCTAGGACTGATTTACTTTTGCTACTTCATTTGTAAGCTAATTTAATACTTCTCAAGATAGGCTTTTTTTTTTTAATTCTTTTTTTTTTTTTTAAGATTTTTAAAATTTATTCATTCATGAGAGCCAGAGAGAGAGAGAGAGGCAGAGACACAGGCAGAGGGAGAAGCAGGCTCCACGCAGGGAGCCCGACGATGTGGGACTTGATCCGGGAACTCCAGGATCACGCCCTGGGCTGAAGGTTGCACTAAACCGCTGAGCCACTCAGGCGCCCCCCCCCCCTTTTTAAATTCTTTTTTTTTTTTTTTTTTTTTTGGCTTTTCTTCGTTGATTCATTTTTTTATTTGCTTTATTAGAAAAAAAAAGGAAATATATATAGAAAAATTTATTAGAAAAAAGGAAATTATATATACTCCAACTATAGTGTTTCAGGATCTGTTTCATAAAACCAAATAATGATAGAAATGAATGTTAAGCATTGTTCTTAAGTATTTCCTTCTGTTTTTCTTTGCAGTTTATCTAAAGTATAGATATAACTTATAATATTTCTTTTTTCCTTTTTAAGATTATGTATTTATTTATTCATGAGAGACACAACGGCAGAGACAGAGGCAGAGGGAGAAGCAGGCTCCACTTAGAGACCCTGATGGGGGACTCCGGGATCACACCCTTAGCCTTCTTAGCCGAAGGCAGACACTCACCACTGAGCCCAGGCATCCCTAACTTAAAAGTTTTCTGTGTTTTTGTTTTGTTTTATATAAGATTTCTGTTGTTTTTTTTTAATTATGCCTTGTTTAGATCTTAGTGGATTTTTTTGACTATTAGAGTATTCTGAAGTTATACACATCTGTTAGGAATTAGATTTTAAGTAGTAACCTTTTTCTTGGGATTGGAATAAATGTTTTTAACTTCCTTTTTAGATTCATCATGTTACACAAAATGGAGGACTTTACAAGAGACCATTTAATGAAGCTTTTGAAGAAACACCAATGCTGGTCGCTGTGCTTACTTATGTGGGATATGGTGTACTCACTCTCTTTGGATATCTTCGAGATTTCTTAAGGCATTGGAGAATTGAAAAGTGTCATCATGCAACAGAAAGAAAAGAACAACAGGTAATTGTTAAGAGTCTTTGATTCTGTAAACGGAAGCCTTTTATAGACATACTGGTATGCTCTCTTTTTTTTTTAGAAATTTGGATACATCTTAAAATAAAAATATTCCAGATGCAGTTAAATGAAAGCGTTTCACAAAGAAAGTGGAAAACAAGATCAAGGCATGGAGAAATCAAAGCATTTAACATACTTCTTTATTTTTTATTTTTTAAAGATTTATTTATTGTGTGCTCATGCATGTGCACTGAGGAGAGGACGGGCAGAGGGAGAGGGAGAAAGAGAATCTCAAGCAGACTCCCTGCTGAGCACAGAGCCCTTTGTGGGGGTTATTGGACTCTGTCCCAGGACCTGGAGGTCATGACCTGAGCCAAAACTAAGAGTTGGGCACTCAATCAACTGAGCCACCCCGATGCCCCCACATTGAACATATTTCTAATTTAATTGTCACAGAGTCTATTCCTGTTTGATGAATGAGAAAGTGAAAATTCACAAGTTAAAATAATATTTCCTGAGTTGCTTAGTGTCAGAGCTGGGATACAGACATGGGTCTGTCAAATGCTAGAAGCCATGTTCTTTATGTTTGTGGTATTGTGCTATATCCTAAGTTTTGGCTCTGATCTTCTGAGAAGATAAAAAAAGTTCTGGAGAACTCATGATGTGTTTTATTATAGACACATGATATATAGATGTTTGGCTCACAGATCAGCTCCTTTCCCCAAACAAGCCTGAAAACAAAATATGGCTGAGCTCTCTGTTCATGGAAAAAAAAAAAAAAGGCAAAAATCAATCTTGTTTTAGTAGTTATAAACAGAGATGGTAATAGTTGTCTTGGGGCAGGGGGGTGGAACCTCACTTCACTTTTTTTCTGTATACTCCTTTGCACCTCTAGAGTCTGTACAGTATACATTCTATTCTCAGGAATAAATAAAATTAGAGTGAAATGCCTGGTTTTTCTAAAAACAAACTTGTTTGTTCTTGGCATGTGAAGTATGGAGAGGTTATCTTCTAGCCCAAGGAATACACTAAAGAAGGGCTTCAGAAGTTTTTTTGGTCCATAATACCTCTCATTTTTGTGGGGTGTTAGGCAGGCTTGGTGGCAGTAAGGTCACCACTGAGAGAGGAGCCATTAGATACCGGAATGGATGGTGGTCCTATGGGAGAGAAGGGAGCATCTAGAAAACATGGGGAAAGAAAGGACCTTATTCAAGGTCCTTTGCTAGAAAGCCAAAACTAGTCAGTGTGGGAATCAAAGATTCTGGTTCTTGGAGAACCCAGAATCCAGGCTCTCTTCTCTCTCATCTCAGCCATTCTGTACCCTTTCCAGCCCTAGCCCCAGCCCCAGCACCACAAGTTGGTCCTCTTTCTTACTGCCCTGAAATACCTACAAGCTGTCTCATCAAGAAGGTATTTCTTGAATACCAAACGCAAGCAAAGCCCTATATTCAGAACTTGGTCCAGTAGGCCAAACTAGTTTTCATCATTGAAATTTTTTGCTTCTCTTATTTTTCTACCCTTGTACATCCCAAATAGACTCTGTGGCTGGAGTGTATCAACAGTATGTTGATTTTGTCATCTCTCAGGTATGGCTTACTTATTATAAGTTATAGGTTACTGTATGCTTATGGGGTTGTATGGAATTACAGTTACTGGTTTACAGGCCAGTCTTCCTGTCAGACTGAGTTGATGGTGGTTGTGACTGATGGGAACTAAAATTTTATTCACATATTCAAATTAGAAAATCTTTATTTATAGGGACCTCTCCTAGTGTGGACACACTGTAGAGACCTACTAACATGGGAAGGTGGGAGCCAGGGGTGCTAATTGTGATGTGGAGAGCATTCCTGGCTGAGGGGATGGTGTAGGCAAAGGCATTAGGGATGTTTGGGAGAACCTGGAATATAGGTGTATGAGAGATTGTGTTTTGAATGTCAGATGAAGAAGTTTGGCAGGCAGTGAGGAGTCTGGGCAGTTTTTGAGCAGGGGTGTGACAGGAGAGTTTTCATAGCTGGTGTTCTGTCAAAGTGGGATGAAGAATGAATGAAACAATGGAGTTGCATCCAAATTACTTTATTAAAGAGTATGTTATGTTGGAACTTGTTTTATGCTTCCAGAAGGTGAATTGATTCCTGAGTTATTGGGGCTGCCTGTGTTTTTGACTTTTGTGTTCAAGTATGGAACATATGGATTTTATTCTTAAATAGCTTCTAAAGTTGTTGAGAAAACATAACTCTTCAAATCTAACAGGTCTTTGCAAAGCCCTCTACAGGTAAATAGTGTTTGAATTGTGGCAGTTACAGAACTGAGTAGCATCGAGTTAATCAGGAAATAATTCTCTGAGGAAGTAATAGGAGGAAATATGTGGGATAGTGGGGGATATTTGCTTCTACAGTTTGTTTAGAAGACTACTATTTTATTCAAATTCATTTCAATAGGATTTTCACAGTAGATAACATTAACAGTTAAGCCAGCTGAATTCTACCATTTTCTTACAAAAATTCAGCTTTTAGAGGGAAGGAAGCTCACTCAGTCTTGTGATATAGCATGTTTGTTTTCTGTTGCTGGATTAAATGTAGTGAGAGGAATATGCAAATTTTAAGGTGTTACACTGGGAGAGATGAGGGAAAGTGCTTGCTTAGGTTCATAAAATGCAAATATAATGTTGCCACTTCCTCATTTCACTGAATGAATGGTGTTTATAACCACATCCTTACTTTCTTCCTCATTCCATTATAAAAGAGCGTCCATTTTAACTATTTATGTTGGTTCTTCATATGTTGATTTGGGTAGAACTGAATCCCATGGTCCCACTATAAAGATAAGTTAGGAGTGCCTGGTGGCTCAGTTTAAGTGCCTGCCTTTGGCTTTGTTCATGGTCCTGGGGTCCTGAACCCCCCCCCCCCCCCGCCACCCCCCCATCGCATTGGGCTCCCTGTTCTGCAGGGGGTCTGCTTCTCTCTCTGCTCCCTCTGCCCCTCCCCCCAACTCCAGCACTTGCGCTCTCTCTCAAATAAAATCTTTTAAGAAAATAAAGCTAACAGTAAGTTAGCAAAAAATTTAAAAACTTAAAAAATAAAGATGAATTAGCCTGAGTTCTATGTAAATTGCAAAAAATTCTTTGAATTCTTTACTACTTGATCCTCTGTTATTAATGTTGTTTTGGATGAGAATGTTGTTTTTTCCAGTCTGTGGTCTGTTTCTTTTTTATGTGAGGTGAAACTAGTCCTCCAGAAACATGTATGTGATTAGATAAAGCAAAAGGTTGAATTTAAAATGTTCTAATCTAGATAGGAAATAACTAGAAGTATAAGGAGCAAATTATGGTATGTAGTTAGCACGCACTTACTAAGCTTAAAGTTTTGCCTCTACAGGTTTGTTCATGGTCCCATATTCAAAAATGGGAGGGGTAGGTTATTGGGAAGGGACATTATTTTATCCATTTCCTGATATGTTTAATTTTCAAGATACAAAAGAAGGAAACTGATTGAATATATTAATAGGAATTTCTGGAAGGATTTTATTCTTAATCTCCTTCAAAAAGTAGTCTAAGAATATTCTGATTAATTGTCATTTTAGCAATATCTTTGGAAACTATTAACGTAGTACAGTTACTTGATACAGAAGCTGGTGGATTATCAGTTGGTTTGTCTTTTTTAGTTCTGGGGATTTACAAAGAGCTCTATTTACCATTGTTTTGTGGTGTGTTTGGAGACCTGGACAGCAGACCTCTATTTTTTTAATAGTCTCATTGAGATATAATTTGTATATCATAAAGGTCACCTGTTTAAAATGTACAATTCAGTTGTTTTTAGTGTTACAGTTGGCCCTTGAAAAATGTGGAGGTTAGGGGTGCTCACCCCTTCCCCCATGCTGTTGAAAATTTGTATATAAGTTTTGACTCCCCTAAAACTTAACTACTAACATCCTGATTGACCTGAAGCCTTGCTGATAACATAAACAACACATATTTTTTAAGTTATATATATTATATACTGTATTCTTACAATAAAGCAAGCTAGAGAAAAGAAAATGTTATTGAGAAAATTATAAGGAAAATACATGTATAATAATGCAACTGTAGTTATTGGAAAAAAATCTATGTGTAGGTGGATCTGCACAGTTCAACATATGTTCAGGGTCAACTATTTTCTTTTTTTGTTTTTGTTTTTTTGAAGATTTTATTTGAGAGAGAGTTTGAGAGACAGAGCAGGAGCAGGGTGAGGGACAGAAGCAGGTTCCCCACTGAGCAGGACACCACTCCCACCCTCACCCCCACTCCACCCCATATGGGGCTGCATCCCAGGACCCCAGGATCATGACCTGAGTATAAGGCAGATGCTTAACCAACTAAGCCACCCAGGCACCCCGGGTCAACTATATTTTCACGAGTGTGTACAACCAGCACCATAATCTAATTTTATAACATTTATATCACCTGAAAAAGAAACCCCATACCCATTATCAGTCACTCATTACTCCCCCTCATCACCCTAGGCAACTACTACTCTACTCTCTGTCTCTAGATGTTTCATATAAACGGGATCATACAGAGTGTGATCTTTTGTGTCTGATACTTCTAATTTGGCATAATGTTTTGAGGTTTGTCCGTGTTATAGTAGATTTCAGTAATTCATTCCTTCTTAGTGCTGAATCATATTCCATTGCATAGAACAGTCATCTATTTTTATTTATTTATTTTAAAGATTTTATTTATGTATTCATGAGAGACACAGAGAGAGGCAGAGACACAGGCAGAGGGAGAAGCAGGCTCCTCACATGGAACCCGATGTGGGACTCGATCTCCGAACTGAGATCACACCCTGAGCCAAAGGTAGACGCTCAACTGCTGAGCCACCCAGGCATCCCTATTTTTATTTACTCTAGTGATTTCTTACTGGTACAAAGTTGTATCCCAAATAAACCTTTTTAAAGAGTTTTATAGTAGATAACAACTATATCCTTTTGCACTGGTGACATAAGTAGATCTGCAAAAGTTTCCCTGT